GCAACAGTAATAGGAATCATGGAGGGCAAGCTAACAAGGATCCATTGTATGATCCAAATTGATACGAATCAATTAGAAGATAAGATCCTAAACCAATTAGAAAATAGAATGAATATGAATTATGTATAAAAACATAAAAGGATGTACAAAATGGGTATAATTTTCCGCTTACTTGTCAAATTTTCGCCCATGAGTACAATCCAAAACGTCTTTTGATTCTATAAAAGTTTGTCGAATGACGTTATCAAACTTTGAGAGTCAAATTCTGTTTTTTAGGTTCTATTTTTGAATTTTATGTTTTGAATTAGTTTTAGAGTATTTTCGTTATTTGTAATATTTTAGTTTTATTCAAATTTGTTTTGTAGTTTTGTAGTTTATTTGAATTTGTTTTTAAAATTTGAGTTCTTTGTAGTACTTTAGTTTTATTTAGATTTGTTTTCTAGTTTATTTGAATTTGCCTTTAGAATTAGAGTTCTGTTTTGATTATGATTTTATTTTGTGCTTATGAAATGCTCACTCATTATACAATAAAGACATTAATTTTTTAGAATTAATCATAATATGAAAAATTTTCCCTTTCTATCTTGTTCTCAACTGAATAGAACTTGTCAAATATTTTCAATATTTTTGGCGTTCATACTATCCAAACTTATCAAAGATTTATACTCTTTGGGGCGTTCAACAAATTCATAGTAGGTTCATAGTTTTGTGATCACGGGATCAACATATTGTCGGCGATTGTGTTGGTATTTGATTCAATAAATTATTGAATCAAGTTTCAAACTGAGATTTAGCTTTCTTGAGATTTTTAATCAATCTTGTGTGAGTTTCATAACTACTATTGTTACGTGGGTTCACATCAGTTGGTATTAAAGTTTTGACTCTAAAATTTGGTTCTATTTTTTTCACTTTTTATTTTCGAGTTTAAAAAAAGAGCTTAAAAAAAAACAAAGGGATCTCAAGAAAAATCAAGAGACATCAAAAAAAAGGTGAAATAAGTTCAAGAAAAAAAAATATATTCAATTTCAATGTCAAGATTCGAGGGAAAATCTTCTTGAAGAAGATGGAAGGAATCATGGAGGGCAATCTAACAATGATCTATTGCATGTTCCGGATTGATACGGATCAATTAGAAGAGAAGATTTTGAATCAATTAGAAAATAGAATGAATATGAAGTATGTGCGAAAACATAAAAGGATGTACAAAAATGCGTATAACTTTTTGCTCGATTGTCGAATTTCTCCTATTAGGACAATCCAAAAACGTCTTTCGATTTTACACAACTTTGTCAAATGACTTTGTCTAACTTTGAGGGTCAAATTCGATTATTTAGGGGTCTATTTTTGCATTTTTATATTTTGGGTTAGTTTAATGGTATTTTCATTTGTGTAGTATTTTAGTTTTATTCAAATTTGTTTTGTAATTTTCTAGTTTATTTGAATTTGCCTTTAGGATTAGAGTTCTTCATAGTATTTTAGTTTTATTCAAATTTGTTTTGTAGTTTTGTAGTTTATTTGAATTTGTCTTTAGAACTAGAGTTTCGTTTTGATTTGGAGTTTATTTTATGCCTATATAAGGCACATTTATTGTACAATAAAAACATTAATTTTTTAGAATTAACCATAATGTGAAAATTTTCACTTTCTATCTTGTTCTTAATTGAGCAAAACATATAAAATATTTTCAATATTTGTGTTGCTCAAATTATCCGAACTTATCAAAAATTCATATTCTTTGCCGGGTTCAACAAATTTATAGTAAGGTTCATAGTTTTTTTTACACGAGGTCAACATATTGTCAACGATTATGTTGGTTCTTTGGTTCAATAAATTATTGGGTTGAGCTTCAAACTGAGATTTAGCTTACTTGGCGTTTTGAATCAATGTGGTGTGGATTTTATAGCTACTATTGCTACGTAGATTCACATCAAGTAGTTAACCATATGCATGTTTCCAATTTCATAGAACCAAAGCTCAAGGACGGAAAGTAAAAAATCTTCAGCATAAAGAAAATGAGCTTTGTGAGTTTCCCTTTGTCTAATGAAGAATATTAATTCATTTGTTAAAAATATTTTCCTAAAAAGGAATTAACAATTAAAAATGATGACTATAACTAGTTGTTGACTAGGGTATATAGAGTTGATATAATTCAAATTCTGTTTTGTATTTAAATTTGATTTTTTTTTCATTATTGAACTTTTGACAAATTGATTAATTTAGAAGCTGATTCAAGGAATTTGAGAAACTTTCATTATGTTTGAGATTCTTAATATCAATTTATTTAATTTTAAGACACTGTTTGGTGGGGATTGAAATCTAAATTTTAATTTAAGTCAAAGTAAATGCAAGAAACATAAAATTGATAATGAACAATAAGAATTGAAGAAAAAAAGGGGTTTAAAGAGAAAAATCTAGAGCAAAGAAATAATTTTATTCATATATTTCAGGTGTATTTGTAAACATTGCCCTAAGTCCCTTTATATAGGAAAGGACTTCAAAATTAAATAAACATTCTATCTAAACAAAATTGAAATAAAAGATAATACTATCAAAATCAAAATACTAAAATTTAAATAAACTCAAATTCTACTAAATCTTAGCCTTTCGTCTTGAATAGACTTTTAGTTCTTTTCTTGTTGCATCATTCTTCCCTAGTTGAAAGAACTTGACTCCAATGAGGTATAGTCCAAGTAGACATCCAAAAGCTTTGCATCCAACTATTAATGCAAGTAGCATTACTAAGTGGGCGACCTTTTCAATGCACAAGAAAACTACAAAAAACCCCGTTTTGGGAAGCAATGATCTGAACATTAAGCACCTCATCAACAATATACTGAAGTGAAAATGTGGTGATAGGAGCTCCAGGGGATGTCGAGACACGTGTCCTGCACACATGTTAGAAGACAAAATTGGAGCCTTGAATGTACCTTGATAAGGATATAAGTCTTCTATATTGAAAACTGGAATAATATTGACGTGTGTTGGCAAAGCAAGTCGATAAGCATTAGTTCCAAACCTTTTAATAATAGGGAAAGGGCCAAGTGACCTAGCACAAAGTTTTATTGCAGTGTTTTTTTTTTCTTTTAAACATTCAAGTGCAAGTTATATCATAAAAAAATCGCCAATCTTGAATTCTTTATGCCTGCGATGTGAATCAGCTGTCAGTTTAGAGTGGTCATCACTAAGAGTAGTTTTTTTTTAATCTCAACATTTGAATATCAAATATGATCCGCAAAAGATTGAGCAGATGCAGTAGAGTGAAAATCAGTAGATAAAAGAACTAGATCTAGTGGTTGATGTGGGGAGAAACCCTATATGACCTCAAATGAGCTATGATTGTTAGATATATTAACAAAATTATTGTATGTGAATTCAACAGTGAGCAATATCAAGTCTTAATTACCCGATTTTTCCCAACTAAGCAACAAAGAAAGTTTCCTAAACTACGATTTACTACTTTAGTTTGACCATCTGCTTGAGGTGGAATGCTTATGAAAACTTACGAGTTGTTACAAACAATTTCCAAATGCTTTCCTAACTAACAAATTTAATGTCATGATCAGACGTAATAATGACAGACAGTCTGTGTAGACGAATAACCTCTTTAAAATATAACTTAACGATATAGGATGCGTCAATAGACATGGATCTTGGAATGAAATGGGCCATCTTAGAGAATCTATGCACAACGACAAAAATGGAATCATGACCTCTAGTGATTTTAGGCAACCTCGGGACAAAATCCATGATAAGATCACGCTAGGGAGTATGGAAAATAGGGAGGGGATATACATTCTAGTGTTTTGATGTTAAGCCTTACCTAACTGACAAGTGTGACACTGTGACACAATGTGAGCCACGTCCTTCTTAAGTGAAGGCTAATAAAACCTATCCTCAACTAAGGCAATGGTTTTGTCTCAACCAAAATGACCTGCAAGACCTCCTACATGTTGTACCTAGATAAGGAATTCACATAGTGAGGTACGAAGGTTACATAATTTGATATCTTTAAAAAGATTGAGCAAAAAAAACAACGTAATTATGAGAGGAATTAGCTGGCAGTTCTTTAAAAATGATACCAAATTAAGGACAACTAGAATATTCATCTTTTAAATGCTCAAATCCCACTATCGTAGTGGTCATAGTATAGAGTACTGTAGTAATACGGCTAAGGACATCAGTTGCTTTGTTGTCGACCCCAGTTTGATGGTAGAGGTCAAATGTATACTTTAAAAAACTCTATCCACTTAACGTGTTGATTACCCAAATTATGCTGGGAATTGAGGCAATGAAGGGCTTAATGGTGAAAATAAGAATGAGCTCCTGTGGCAATAAATAATATCGCCAATAACAAAGAGTTTGGACAATGCTTGATTTAATATCTCGTTGAAATAAGTGATAGGATGACCATCTTGACCTGATACATTACCTATCTCGACAACAATAGCATTGTAGGTCACCTCAAGAACTTTAGAGAGATCAAGGTGACGTAAAACAAGTGCTTCGGTTAACTTTTGCTTAATGGCCAAGAAGGCTTTTTGTGCAGATGAGTCCATTGAAAATTCCCTTTTTTCATACACTCAGTTATAGGGATGGTAATAGAACTAAAACCTTGGATGAATCGTTTATAGAATGAGGCTAATCCATCAAAGCTACAAGCCTTGGTAAAAGTTGGAGGTGTTGGCCAATTACGAATTATAGAGATTTTAGCTGGATCAGTAGAAATCCCTTGGGCAGAGATAATGAATCCTAAAAAGAGGACTTGTGACTGTAGAAATGAATACTTTTCAGGTTAGCGTATAATTTGGCTGAACGAAAGGTAAGGAAAATCTATTGAAGGTGGTCTAAGTATACCTCTCGTCATTGACTATAAATCAATATAAAATAGACCACAAGAATTTTCCAATGAAAGGTCAAATAACATGATTCGTGACCCTCATAAAAGTTCTACGCGCATTTGACATCTCAAAAGGCATAACTAGCCACCCGTATAAACCATCTTAAGTCTTAAAAGTCATTTTCCATTCATCCCGTGGTCTAACCCTAATTAGATGATACCCGCTCCTTAAATATATTTTAGAAAGCCACAAAGATCCTGCAAGCTCATCCACTGTCCTCGAGGCGCAGAAAAGGAAACCGATATTTAATAGTAATTTTGTTAATAGCGCGGCTATCGACACACATATGCCAAGATCCATCATTTTTTGGAGTAAGTAGGATCGGGACCGCACACAAAGTAAGGCTATGACAAATAAACCTTTAGCTAGTAAAGCTTCAATTTGTTTATTCAACTTGACCTGTTCCGTGGGGTTCATCCAATAGTGAGGACAATTCGATAACTGTAAACTAGGGACCAAGCCGATAGTATGTTGAATATCACGAATAGGAAGGAGCTCGTCGGGTAGGTCATCAGGGGTCATATCACTAAACTCTTCTAGCAACGAGGTGACGTCAAAGGGGTTATCAATGTGTGAATCAGAAGTGGGTTGGGAATAGGCTTTGGTAACTATAGCAAACATCAACCCGATGTTGTAAATCTCACTCTTAAAGTCCTTATAGGACAAGAGCTGGATCTAATTGTTTGTACCTGTAGTATACATGGGCCTTGTTTTAGGGAATGGTCTCTTTGGAGGGTCTAAGGGTTTGGTTAGAAGAAACCTAATAAGTTTACCAATATTGTTGAACTCATAAATATCGTCGCGCCAAAAGTGCTTAATGTCGTGAGAGTGAATCTAAGGACGACCTAAAAGGATGTAAGTAACATCAATGGGTAAGATGTCGTAGTAAAGATCCTCCGAGTAGAATGTGCAAAACGTAAGAGAAATAGGGCAACATTGAGTGACAGGCAAAGAAGTCCTATCGACCCATGCTACCTTAAATGGTTAAGAGTGGGGTTCGAGTTTGAATCCGAAATTGGTCACAGTTGAAGTGAAAACAACATTCATGGTACTATTCCCATCAATTTCTAATTTGCAAGAGTGGGAGTTGTACGAGATGTATATCTGGAAAATTGATGTCCTTTTCCAAGAATCAAATTCAACAAGGGTAGACCGTTAAATATCATTTGTTTTTTGGAGTTGGGAATAGTGGCTCTTGATTAATAGCAAGGGTATGATGAAGATATCGAGAGGCAATACACTAGATTAAAAGGTTAGCATTTGGTAAAATGTTGAGTAAGAAGGTTGACTCATATTGATTTCTTGGGAAAGTGAAGGTGATAAAGATGATGACCCAACAATTGTACGGGACTAGGATGATACTGGGACGCTACCAAGATTGGTGGATGGATTAGAGCAAGACACGTGAGAGTCCACAAAGGTCAAAGGGCCTCTTCGGGTGTAGGATAATTTAGAATACCTCATATTAAAACCTCATATTCGAGGGCTTTGGAAAGCATCATCTGAAGAGAAAGGACTAAGTATGTTGACCTATTGTTTGAGGTTGGATCTCAGGCCATTAAGAAACCTAGTGATAGTAATGTCTACGATTTCATTAAGACAATAACGATGCGCAACTCATCTAAGTGAGATCTATAATCAGTTACGATCGAAGAGTTCTGTCTATGATTAAGCAGATGCTCCAAAAGTTGAGATGATGGTAAGGTGGGAAGTACTTTTCAGCAAGTTTTGTTTTCATTTCTCCCTATAGAGTGATTGGTTGACCTAGCTATTTAAGATTACATGTCACACTTTGCTAATAGCATTTAGCAGATTTGACGAGTTTCAATTTAGCGAAACATATGTGTTGATAGTCAGGCATGTGATACCAATAGAAGTACTCTTTGATGGACCCCAGCCAGTCTAAAAAGGCTTCGGGGTTTAGACGGCCATGAAATTCAGGGGCATCTACTTTAACTTGTCTAGTTTTATCATCAGTAAAGTCCTCGTGTTGATCATAATGTTGGGTAGGGGCTTAGGGTGAGTGACTATGTTGGATACAGGGTTCAAGATATTCCGAAGTGTGTACGTAGTGCCTAGGATTGCGTAGGTTAGGTAATTTGCCACTAGTTGGAATCTCAGGAGCCTGACAAATAGGATTATGAATGTTTCGACTTTCTGTCCATGATTCAAAAATATTATCTCTGGGATGTTTTTCTGAATTTCGATGTAATTCCATTAAAAGATCCTTAAATTCAGTTAAATTGAATTTCATAGACACTAAATCAGTTGAAAGATTGTTGACTTGTTGGGATAAGACTTTATGAGAGTGTTCTAGATATTTGAGATTCATTTTAGATGTAATTTTTTTTTTCTTAACTTGGAACTAAACTAGACAACTTAAAAAGCAAAATACTTAAATAAAAGCAAATTTTCAATGAAAAGCCGAATAAATCCTTACCAAAACTGTGAGCAGACCGGATAGAGGCTTTTGACAAAGACAACAAGAAAAGTGGTGGCACAGGAACGGTAAGAACATGAGCCTTCAATGTATTGGTTAGCAGCTTTTAATCTCCATAGTATGAAAGGAGAGGCGGCCGGTGAGAGACATCGGTGGTGGAACGTGCTGGCTGAAGAGGCAAACTGGGTGGCGCGAGCAAATTGCGATGGCCAAGCATGCAAGAAGAAGACTGGAAGATGCAGGTGACGGTAGAGAAATTAGCGTCAGTGTAGCGGAGTGACTCTATGCATCTATCTTTGACAAGGCGGGAAGCTGGGTGATGCTACCAAAAATCGTACCTGTAGATTTCCCGAGCTTGATGACTGATAAGGACCGCGAACGTGATCTTCCGGTACCTGAAACAAAGGCAACGAGGTGTGTTCTCGTCACCCCTCCAATGCTTAAGTCAGAAAGGGAATTTTGTGCGTGAGGCTATGTGCTGGAGAACAATGAAAAACGTACCTGAATAATGGCCCAAGGTTCTGTATTTATAGAGGTAGGTGGTGTGTTCATACTAGGATTCCGTAGTGCACCTGTAGTAGGACAGCTTGATTTTGCAATATAACACCAATGAGTCCTACGTGAGATAGGAGTTTGAATTGAGGTATAACTGTGATACCAATAGAGTTCTTCTGGGCGTAGGAGACATGAATTGAGAATTTTTAGTCAGAATAAATCTCTCGTTGGATAAGGCGCTTCGTAGGTTATAATCTCGAGGACATAATCCCGAGGACATGTCGAATGATTGTTGAATAACTCTTCGGGGTAACAATTCGGGCATATGGGGATACCCGAGCACATATGTCCCGAGCATTTTGATACACATATCGATGAAATCAAGTCCTCGGGTCTATAGACGTCGGGAATAAAACTTGGTTATATCATTGGCCCCCGTGTACCTGTGCTCGATTATATGCACGATGATAGGTGCAAAAGGTCCTAATTACAGTCTTCGGTATAGCACCTTTGATTCATTACTGAGGAAGGACTCCTGAGGGCTGACGTCAGATGTGGTAATGACGCCAGTCCTAGTAGAAAGGCGGTGTAATTTTTAGACCGTGGGATGTAGGACACGTGGCATGATCGAACGGTTCAGGATGCGACCTTTGGCCTCCCACCCATGTTTCCCTATATAAGCCTCCTTTCCTATTCATTTTTTACTTTTTCACTATCAGTAAACCTTGTCGGAATCGTCGGGATAAGGTGAGTCCTCAAGACTTTAAGTTGTTTGTTTTTAGAAAAGTCTATATTTAAGATAGGATGACGAGCAGTGATAGCGATACGTCATCCTCGAGTTCGGGAACACCAACCGAGGACTTAGGGCAGTCAATAATACCTATGGCCATCCCCATAAGTGCTAATCATCGAGCCTAGGATATCCCGCCCCCGTTAGTGTACCCCGACCATCCTTGTAGGTTTAAGGAGCACTTAGCAGTGACGACTGCTAGGAAATTCGGCCTGATGTCGAACTGTGATATTAGGTCTCCTAGCAATGAGGATAGGGTAGCTATTGCTCAGGAGGGAGAGTTTGTCATTTTCAAAGATTCTCTAAAGGGGGGATTCAGGTGGCCATTGCAGCACTTTTTCCTCGCGCTTTTGACCGAGCATAACATGAGCCCGGGGCAGTTAGTGCCGAATGGGTGGAGGATGTTGACATATTTTTTTATTGCTTGTAGATACCTAGGGATTATCCCGTATGTCGACTTATGTAGGATGGTCTTCGACCTAAAACAACTCCCCCAGTACTCTTGTTTTGCTTACCTCTCAACCCGATGAGGGTTTAGAATCCCGAGGATGCCTAGCTCCCTGAATGGGTGGAAGGATAAATGGGGGGTGCCTGATACTACTAAGTTTTGCGGGGGTCAGGCGTACTTTGAGTCGTTGGAGAGGCATAGGCAAATGCTAGAGGAGCTCGAGCCCCTCGTTTATGACTTGGATGATATCCTCGAGCTTGCAAACATGAAAGGAATCGAGGGTAGGATATGTGATTTTGACGCTTAATTTCCCGATCTGTATTTTTACTATGCTCGTGCTAATTACATGTTATTTTTTATTTTTGCAAAGATGACGTTTGACCCAAGTGCCCTTCGTCAGGCAGTAAACAAGAAGTCCAAGGCTCCCCAGGCTGGGGCTCCAGGCCAGAGGAGGGGCCAAAGGAGACCTCGGGATTCGAGTCAGGAAAGGCAGACCAGTGGGCCTGGGGAATCGTTAAGGCCCCGAGGACCGTCTCCGGGAATAGGGAGGACGGGATCTCAGCAGCAGGATCTTCTAGGGACTCCTCGGAAGTCTCTTCCTCGGGGACCTGTTGACGTGGTCGACCTCGAGGATGAGTGCCTGCCACCGGGGCCTACTAATCCCGAGGGATGCTCTCGGTGCCACTCAGTGCTCAGCATCGTCGACAAATACCCGGCAGATGTCGACTTAAGCAATGGCTTGAGGGCTCTCGAGGCTATGGCCTTGAAGGTAAGATCGTCGGCTGTTTTTATATTATTTTTGTTATCTTTACGTCCCGAGGTTAAGTAACATGCACCATTTTTCAGAGGTCTTTCCTTGAAGGAAAAGGACGAGTCTTCAAAAATGGCAAACCTCGAGGGTCCCGTTTCTGCTCGGGATCTGAGGATCGCCAACCTAGAGGAGGAGCGTGCTCAGCTATTGAGGGAGCGCGAGCATATGCGAAATGATCTACGCAGTGCTCAGGGCGAGGCCGGTACTGCGAAGGCTGAGGCTGAGCACTTCAAGCTCGACCTCGAGCGCAATAAAAAAGATTTTGATGCGGAGCTGGCCAAGCGGGAGGACGTGGTCGAGGACTTTAAGAAGTCTGATGCCTTCAACGAGTTAAAGGGCGACTATGCTATGGGCTCTTACTTTCATGCCCTGAAGGAAGCTCGAGCTTTCATGCGCCTGAGGCCAGATGCTCACCCTGAGGATCTGAAGTCAATCCCCGAGGTGGCTGACGACCTTCATCTTTCAGAGTCTGAAGAAAATCCTGGAGATGAAGACGTCGATATTGAGGGTGATGATGTCGAGGAAGGCCAAGGCAGTCAGAACACTGACGCCTAAATTTACTGAGCTCATTCTGTATTATTTTTTTTTTTTGTAATTGTAAAGTTCCCGATCTTAATGGAAATAGTTTTTCCTTTCCACCGAGCTTATTCTGTATTATCGTCATGTTTCTATTTCATAGCGTCGAATATTAACCAATATCTCGACGACCGAGAAGGAT